CTGCAGGACTCACAGGTGGGAGGCGGTGGAGCTGGTGTCAGACAGGCCCTTGGGAGGCCGCCGCTGCTATAAGTAACTCTTCTGAGTTTTCCTGTTAAATGACTGATGTTTTGATTGATTAATTCCCGGGGATGTTATAGTTAGGCTACACTCATGTTATGTTTTAACCTGATAGGCGGCAGCAGTAGCATGTTTTCTTGTTTACACACTTAGGCTAAGCAGTTCTCACGAAGTAGCCTTACCACATTGCTCTGTTCAATCTTTCCTATGTATTTCCTGGACAAGCTATGCCTGTGATGAGATGTCTTGGATAGATTTCATGTAGGTGAGGCTTTGTCTGTAACATTACTGGGAAAAAAAAAAAAAAAAGTAGCAATGTCTGAAGGGATTTATTAGAGACTCATATGGTCTCGGCTCTCTTGAAGCATTTTTCTGAGGAAGCAGTTTCATTTTCAGCTCCTTGTGCTTAATTCTGTGCTCCTTTGGGACAGCAGGATTCATGTGTGAAGAACTTAACGACGTGCTTGGTCCTGGCACATTGTGAAGGTTTTTGTGTCTGTGACTGAGGGGGCTGAGTTTGTAACAGAAGTTGGACTATATGTTAAAGCAAGTCTTTGATCTTGGGTTTAATGTGTTCTGTTTCATGGGAAAAGTGTGTTCTGCACAACCTGAACAACTTGGGTTAGCACTGAAATGGGAGAGTTAACAAGTTGCAGGAATCTGAATGTGACTTAAAGCAGAAAGTAAAATCCTAAATCAGGAAGGAAAAGGGGATGTTTCTGAAATGCAGCAGGTTGTCAGTATTTTATGTATTTATCTTATGCACCTGTTGAAGAGTAACAGGAATGACAACCTGATGCAATTTGGGAAACAAAATATAGGCTCAGTATTTGATGAAAGAGGAGGACAATTGTTAGACAGCAGCTATGGATTGTTACATTGCCGTAAGGGTGTCATATAAACAGCATTTCTTTGGATGACCCAGGCTCTGTGCACTTGACAATACTGATTCCAGCTTGGTATGTTGGCCCTTGTTTTCCCAAAGCCATTGGGTTACTAATCTTTAAAACTGCCAGGTTGCCTAAGATGAGAGATATGGTTGTGGCCAGCTGAGCTGAGACATTGTGGATCATAACAGACTAAAAGAAAAGTCAATGCATTTTCTGTTTCAAGTGCCAAGGGAACCTTTTTGCATTTGCCGTGTGTTTGTCAGAGAAATCAACCCAGGCATCAGCAAGAGAAACATCCAACCTAAACTTTAATTCCACATATTGTCTGAGCATCAGGCAATGTAGCATGTGATGTATATTAATCAGGTTTTTAATACACTTTAGAATTTTAAGGCACAAGTTCAGGGTAATATTAACTCTTCTGTATTTAAATAAAAACATTGGAATGTGATGTCTAAGTGTTGCTCTTTTTAGTCTGCCTAGAATCTCTATGTAGTGTGAGGAACTGTTCTGAATCAGGTGAATATACCTAATTCCTTAATTTTCTGGAGCTTTGTAACATTTTTGTTTTGGTTGTTTTTTTCTTACATGATTGATCTCTGCAAGCTTGAGTATTGGGTGATGTTGTCCCATCCTCCCCTCCTGAGATTTCTAGAATCTGGTGGGCACTACACAATGCTTTGCTAGGGAACCAAGTGATTATACTGAAATCTATCCAGGAAGTCTCTTTCAGAATTTTGTGACTTCCTTGGGATTTTATTCTTGTTTGGTGCATGGTTAATTTAATGTTGATCTTATTTTACCTCTGCAAATTCTTCATCATAAATGAATATGCTAGAAGTACCCTCCGACCATGTTGTATACTTACTCGAAGGCATTGCCAAAGACAATCAGAACTCTCAGTGAATGTTTTTAAACAAACCAATTAATGTGTCCCACAAATCTGAACAGCTTGCTTTTCTTACAGCCTCTTCTTCTCACCCTTTACTTTCTTCCGCTGCTGGCTGCTGTTACTGCAGAGGTGAATCACTTCAAGGGGGAGCTCTGTGAACAGATCCAATGCCCTGCTGCCCCCCAGTCTCCCTCTGCCTCCTTTTCTGCCCCTCTACCTCCCGCAAATCACCTGAAAGTTCTGTTCTTACTGAGGAGAAAAACTAGAAAGCAAACTTTTGGGTGCTGTTAGGAAAGTACTTTTGCTTTTAATGGCAGGTGCACCTCATTTATGCAACCTAATAGTCTGATTTGGTATACGACTGTGTCCTTGTCATTAAACTATATCTGCCAGTGTACCAGAAGGTGTAAAGGGCAGTTCTTGATGGAATGAATAAGTAACATCTGCTATTTTTCAGCAGAAGTCTGTCTTTTTTAGCATTTGGTTAGAGTACAGGATTCAAGGTCAGCACTTGATTCCAGGAAGAAATCTCAGAATTTATTACTAAGCGTACATCCTTCCTTTCTTTCTCTTTTTGAAATATCCTGTTACTCCCTTACTGGATAAGAAACTCCATAATTAAAGAAGTGTTCCATTTCTGAGCTCCAGTCCATATATCCAAGAAAAGGCAGCAAACTAGTCAAACCTAATGGACTTACCTTTGCAAAACTCTGCTCTGGCCTTTTTAGATCTAGACGGCCTTGAAGTTGCCCTTTCTACTAGCTACAGAGATGCATTTCTTTATTCTGCGTTACTGTAACAATTGCCAGACCCTCATTTGAGGATAAAGAGGAAGAACAACCCCTTACATTTAGTAGTATGTGGTAGCTGGCAAGAGCAGGGAAACAGGTCTTTGCAAAACATTAAAGCATAAAGAAACTGAATGCTGTATTTCTAGAGGCTCAGAGATTTGTTGCCTTAGGTGTGTATCTGTCCCCTCAGTTTGTGTCTTCTAGGAGCTGTTCTAAGGAAGCTTTTATGAAAGAGACTTCAGTATCCAGAAGATAAATCTGACTTAAAACTTAAAAAATAATTTTATTAAAATCTATTACATGGGTCTTCTGCATTGTCTTATGTTTTTATTAATTAAAAAAAAAAAAAAAGTAATGTCTGCTTTCTGAGTAAAGTTAAGTTATAAACACAGTGCCACTCATAGATTAATAATAAGTTTCTAGTAACTTCAGGAATTGACAATGATGAATTTGACAACAGATAACCACCACAAATGTTCTTTACAGAGGTGTCAACCTGGGAAAACTCTAGTACACTGGTTTTTTTTTGGTTGGTTGGTTTGGGTTTTTTTCTTCCACCAAATAGAGTGTGATGTACTTATTCTGCTTTAAGAAAGCTGTTCAAGCAGGATACTTGAGAATGCTCTCATAACATGGGATCAAGTACTAATTTAGAATTTCTGTTATGATACCAAGGGAGGAGGGAGTGAGGAAGCATGCAGGGACACTGATCCTGAATCAGAATGATTTTTCCCTCTACCAGCAGAGAGTAAGGATGTGTATGTGGTACACCAAGACTCAAAAGTAGGAATTTCTTAGACTTGAAATTGTGGCATTTGAGTGGTGGATTGAATGAATGCTATGACATACTGTATCCAGAATATATTCCAGAAGTCTTCCTGCGAAGCGAGGAGCCAGAGACACTTTTTCTCCCTTTAAATATAACATTATTTTCAGTCTGGTCTGCCCAATGTATAACCTTGATTTGGTGAAAGAGTCCTGGAAATTAATTGATGGTTTTAGGTATATTTGAAGGATTCTGGGTTTTGTGTTTCATTTAAGGTCATCACCGTAGTGACTTCACTTTCACATTCTCCATCCTGTAAAATTTTCTGAGGTTTTTTGTTCAGCTGTCTTCATACAGATTTTTACTGGATTCACGGCATTCATGCCCATTCTAAAATACCACTACTTAGTGAGGGAGTCTTTTTTTTCTTAATTCCCATTTTGACTTTTTTTTTTAATACCTCACATTCCCCTTTACTTCTAAGAAGGGTCATCCTGGTGTTGAGAAATTACCATCTTACTTCATTTGGACAACTGTAAGCTTTATCTTAGACTTTTTCCTAAAGTGGGCTGGTCTTCTACCTAAATCATGCTTGTCTAGATTATGATTCATTAAGTTACCTGTAAAATTTAATTTCTGAAAACTGTAGTTGCTTTAAGTAAATGAACAGTTCTTTTTTTGTGTGTTAAATGTGCCTGAATGTATTATGACTTCTTAAAATTTTTCAGCTGAGAGAAAATGACTGCAATCAAACATGCTTTACAGAGGGATATTTTCACTCCCAATGATGAACGCTTGTTGAGCATTGTGAACGTGTGCAAAGCAGGCAAAAAGAAGAGAAACTGCTTTTTGTGTGCCACAGGTACATAGTAATACCACACCCTATTTCTTGTCTTCACCTTTGTTTTTTATTCAGTTGCATTTGTCTCAGCTTTATTTACAATGTTTATTCTTGCCCCATATAAAACAAGTGCTTTCCATTTCTAATGGAGAAAATCAATTGTAGCTTATACTTTGTGAGAAACATTCACCTATGTAGTTTTTAAGAGAGGACAAAGTCTGTGAAGCAAAGCTTTATTTCAGTGCTGGGTGCGTGGGAGATCACCTCTGTGATCCTCCTGCATGCCCACTGGTTAGTCTCACTTCCACGTATTTATTTAGGACAGTCAGTCATATTCATTTCTCAGAAATCTTATACATATTCAGATTATTTCCCTGAAGTTATTTACATCTATACCCTCCCTCTTGCGTCTGCGCACTGTTCTCTAGAGGTCTTCTTTGAGGGTTGTGGGGTGAAGGCTCAAAGTCTTCCTCTTGGTTGAACTCCTTATTCCAGCACCTGCGCTCTATTGTTTCAGTTAACTGTCAACTTGGGTTTGCAATATAATCCTCTCTTTCTTCCATATAAGGGCAGGAAGGTGACAACCAGGTAGAGACTAATCATGGCTAAGATAAGTGGTGTCAGCCAGAGCAACTTAACCCTATAGCAGAATACACGTTTCCCTGTCTCTGTCCCCATACTTGGGTACCTGGAAACTTAAATTCTTTCCGACTGGCTATCTGTTATGGCTTAAGCAAAACTACAATCACATACTTCCATTATTGCTTTTACTAAAAAAGAAACAAAATATTGTACTTTTATTCCCAGATCTCGTTGTAATTTGAAATGAAAGAATCAAAATTATTTGTGTGGGACTGGTGAGCTTTTGAAGCAGGCTTAAAAGGGGATTTAGTGAGTAGCTAGGCTGATCAGCCAAAATAAAATGCAATAGAGTACTGGTTAGAGTTCAGGGCAGAGGGCTGTGGAAAGGCACAGTAACTGAACTGAGTTCTAATATTCCTTTAAGTGTATGTGTATTATATAACACCTATTCAAAAAAATAGCTGCTTTGGGTTGATAGAATATTTTTTTTGACTGAGAAGTCTCAGAAAATGTTTTTTTTTATTCTGACTCTGTTCTCCAGTTACTTCTGTATTTTGTCAGTTATGTGGCCATGGTCCGAGGTCTGCTGCATCAAAGAAATATCTGTAAATTGAGTTCATGTCTTAACAAGCTGTATAGAAATTTCTATCTGGTTGACTGAGACTTAAACTGAGCTGTGGGTATTGAGGATGAAAATGTTTCAAAGGGTCTCTTTTCATGAAATAAATATTATGAAATCTGCCCCACAGGTAATATGTTTCAGAAGTTGAAGTACAGCAGAAATAGATGTTAATTTGTGCGGTTTGAAGTTACTCTTTTACTTCATTTAACAGTGACAACGGAACGACCAGTGCAAGTAAATGTGGTAAAAGTGAAAAAATCTGACAAGGGAGATTTCTACAAAAGGCAGACTGCATGGGCACTTCGAGATCTTGCTATTGTTGATGCCAAAGATGCTGTTAAGGTATGTGTAACTTTTTGGTTTAATGCTGTGCTCAGAACGTCCTTTTGGTTCCAAGTTATAGTTAACTTCCTTGATACTGACTGCTTTAAAACTTAGATTAATAACACATTAATTAGGAATTAAGATGATACATTCCTGTGCAGTTTATGCCTACGTTTTCTTCCAGCCTTTCCAAGAATATAACCCTGGTAAACTGAGTAAGAGTAGTCCAGATGTACTTGAATAGCAATGTTCTGAATATCTGCCTTATTTTTTGTAGTGATCCCTCAGTGACTGTAGAGTGCTTGGGCTAAGGACCAGTACTTTTTTGTATGTTTCAAGTCTTATGTAAATTTTTATGACAAGCTTATTTTCCCTTAAAAAAATTTATAACCATCTTACTAATGACATTCAGCTACATGTGACATTTTATTGCTAGGACACTTAAAACATTCTCAATGAGCAATATATAAGCTTGAAGGTGAGCTCTTATAGTCTGTTTTCTAAATCATGACATTGGCCATTTGTTGGAAAGCGTACAGTCCTGAGGTGGTGTCCTTTTCCGTAGAACAACAAGAGCAACCTGTTTTTGACCATTTAAATTCATCTGTTGTCATAAACTAATCTTTACAAACAAGCATAGGTGAAAATTTTTCATCCTGTGATGTCTAGTTTTATTTTCTGTTAACTGGTGATTTGGGAGAATAGTGCAGAAAACTATGAAGTCGAAAATTCTTTGATTTCCCCCTCCCCAAGTGTAGGTTAAATATGTTTTGTTATTTCAGTAATCCACATGCTTGTTGGCTAGATTTTAGATTTTCTTTGTTGTTCCTAAATACCATATTGGAGAATTGCTGCTTTCAGGTTAAGATTCTGTTTAAAATTATACCACCTTTCAGGGCTTTTCTTGCAAAATAGAATTTGGTAACTGTTTTCAGAAATATGCTGTAATGGATATACCACTCTAACGAGCGATTGTGAAATTTTCTTTCAAAAAACAAATGTTGAATGCCAAACTGTCACATATTAAAAAACGTCAGAATTAAAGTTGATAGGTTCATCATGTTTTGGTTTCCAAATGTGATCCTCTGCAACTCTTTTGACACAGGCCTTTCCTGTACTAATTGTGAGACAACTCAAATTTTAGGTAATGATACTGTTTGTTTACAAATGTGTGGTAATTATATTTATCAATATAAGCTACAGGAAAAAAACAGAACCACTTTTATTGTGCTGTGCAGGAAATACCATTTCCCATCATGTGCAGTTTCATCTGCAGCCTGCTTCTACAGATGGTGGTGATAATATAAGTAATAAGTAGCAGCAATAGTACAACTATTTTTGCAAACTATATATAAGTAAGAATTTAACATGTCTCGTGCAATAACATTTTTCATCAGAAGGAGGCTGGACCTTGTAAAATGCTTATAACATCATCTTTAAAATGGACTATTACCAGTTAGCAGTCCATGTTGAGTTTCTAAGTGGCTGTAGAAATTATTCAATTGTTATCAAAGTAATGTTCTCATCAGGCAATAAATCTAGTTGAAAATACTTCTATAGTAGTTTTTACTGTTAAAATACCAAATGGTCTTTTCTATCCTGTTCAGTGCTATCAAATACTATGGTATCTATAAAATATATAAAGTGCTCGTAATGTTTTTCTCTTGCTTGTTCTCCTAAGTCTCCTTGAATTGTGTGGTATATGTTGTCAGTAATTCCAGCTACCCTTTTTCAGAAGGCTAACACAAGGCATTAGTCATTCTGAGGACAGTGTTTCAATGCAGACAGCGCTATCAAATGTTTGCTGAAACTCTTACAGATATCTGTGTTATGTGTTCTTGTTGCCTTATCTGGCTCAGCAAAATACCATCTTCATAGCGTGGATTCTGATTTTTCACTTTCAGTGTTTTAGCACCTTCATTAAGGTGCCAGGGTTCCAGCGTTGGTGTGTATGAGCTTCAGGTTGGCATCTGTGTAATTTCATTTTTATTCTGTCATGTCAATAATTAAATGCGTAAACAATCTCTGCTGCTCAGAGACTCATTTCACTGTTGAGCCTGTAACATATTTCATGTTTTGCAGGAGAATCCTGAATTTGACTTGCATTTTGACAAAGTTTACAAATGGGTTGCAAGCAGCACAGTGGAAAAGAACACCTTCATTTCATGTATCTGGAAACTCAATCAGAGATATCTTAGAAAGAAAATTGACTTTATTAATGTTAGTTCACAGCTTTTGGAAGGTAAATTTCTACAACTGTATTGTAAGTATAAAGTTTTTAATAATTATTGAGGTAAAACAGATATGCTAAAAAAAATAAATCCTAATCCTGATGTTTAGTCCTGTTCAGTATTATTCTTTTATATTTTCGAAGTCTTCAGATAAACAAGGTGACTAGATAACATGTTTTGCACTAGAAAACGGAGAACTGAGAAAAAATACTTTATTAATGAAATTTTGAATATTGATAAGCTTATTGTATTTCTAAGGGATTCTGTTTCTTTAACAAATGAAAATCTAACTGCAAGATCTGGTAGGTCTAAATGTGTAACGAATCTGCTTTTGTTCCTGTTTTCTTTTCCCCTGAATTGGAAAAAAGCTTTAAAAAGTGATGCTTCAGTAGCATGCTAAAGGTTATATGAGATTTTAGATGAGAGTTTATGAACGGTGAAGTACGTGTTAAGTTCTGCTGGACCCTATTACAGTTTATGTGACTGGTTGCTAAGAAGGCTTTGTATATTGTTAGCTCATACTGTATGAAATATTTCATAGTCACATTATCTTTTAACAATAGTTAAATTTTTTTAGTAAAGCCTAGTAAGTAAGCGTATCTCACGTTGAGTCTGTCAGAAGTGGTTAAACTGCTGATATTAAATACTAGACTGGCTTATGCAGAAGAACTTGTAAAACAGGAAGGATAGCATTTCTGTATTTTGATGTTGACTGAAATTTGTTTTTAACCAACCTTTAACTTTTCAAGTTCGTGCAATATTAAAACATTCAAACTTACTGCCACTTAAAAATATACACACTGTTCATGCTTTGTCTAGCTAACATTCTCTGCTTCCTTTCCTCTGCTTTTCTGTACCTTTTAATTCTTCAGAACTGCCTAAAGTTGCAGAAGGTGCGTAACACCTTTTTCCTTTATTTTGGTTTGTAAGCAAATTTTCTTAAATAATATGCTTTTTCTTTTTTTTAAAATAGTGCTTTGGATATCTCTAGCAACTTGATAATCTAAGAGAGATGTTTCAACTGTCCTAAAAGCTTTCTGGCTGGACTGTGTTAATGTTTTGTAAATCAGTTGTCAGCCTTTGAATTAATTAAGCACTGCTGTGAGAAACCATAGTTCATGAAAACATTGTTACATAATTTTTACTTACCTCAGTACTGATTTTCCTGCTGTGAAACTTACCTTGAGCATCAATATAATTTTTATTTATTCGGTCATGTGTTTCTTAATCAAGTTTAGTATGTTTCCCTTATAATATGTGTACCAAAAGACAGATTCTACTGATTCAGATTCTACTGATCTTTTGCTAATAAGTCTAGTGTAATACTGTAATATATTCTGATGTTGATTATCAACATGAGAGGTGAATAAACCGAGATGGTATGTCCCTTTGTACGTGCAATAAAGGGTGGTGGCTATTTGTATTTTACTTACATCGCATAATTTGGAAAACATCACTGTTGAGAACCAGTTCTGGGAATCTTAATGAAGCCCATGAAAGAGTGAGACTTGAAAAAATTGTACGTAGGTAGCTGGTGCTTGTTAGGAAAGTTAATGGATTTATTTACTTTAAGATAGTTGAACATACTTAAGTGCTTTTAAAATGCTTTTGACTTTCTGCACTTGATAATATGTTTTATTTCCCTTCTTTACGTAAGAATCCGTTCCAAGTGGAGAGAATCAAAGTGTGGCAGGAGGTGATGAAGAAGCTGTGGATGAATACCAGGAGTTAAATGCAAGAGAGGAACAGGATATTGAAATAATGATGGAAGGGTGTGAATATGCTATTTCTAACGCTGAAGCCTTTGCAGAGAAGTTGTCGAGAGAGCTACAAGTGCTAGATGGGGTAAACATTTCTTCTAATGTACAATATTAGAACTGTTGAACTGTTTTCATTGATACTGACTACGTAGCATTCTTTGAAAAGGTAGCTAATGTGTTCTGCCACATATTTAAATGTAAATGTATATCTGCTCCTAAGCAAAGCTACATTCTGTCTATTATCAGATTTTAAAGATCTTCAGCTTTCCTCTTTACCTTCCAGACCTTCTGGGGTGGGTCACAGGCTTTCAAATGAGGAAGAATTGAGAAGAAAAAGAGGGGAGGCATTCTGCCTATACTCCTCTTGAAGGCAGGGCTGCAGGGAGAGAGAGAATAGACGTTCATGTTCATGTCCGTGGATGTGAACTCTTATGCCTAAAATACTACTCTCAGTGTAATTAGGCAACTGGTTTAATCTAATAACATTGCAGTATTCAACTCTATGTAACAGTACTATATTGTTTGCTATTTTGCATTTTGAACAACCCAGCATTCTAGAGGACACTTAGAAAACATAAGGAGATGCAGGGGATACAGTCTTGAGGGAACAGTGAACAATTTCATCAAATTGTCAAGCTATATGTTTCTCTTATATTTTGAAAATGGCTGTTGTTGTAGAGAGAGCTGATCTTGCAACAGAAGATATATCCTTATCACCTAAGCTGTTTTTCTGGAACTAAGAATGTTCCAGTATAGTAGGGATTACTGTTTGGTTTTGATTTTTGTGCAGGTCAATACTTAATTTTAAGAACTTCAGCAAAGTTTTGGTTTTATATCTTTTCTTTGTGAAAGAAAAAAGTGTCATAGAGTGAGGAACTACTGTGTTCAATAACACTTTAAATGAGAAGTACTACAAGCTTATATTGTTTTGTCGCTTTCATCAGGAGTTTTGGAAGGTGTTTATTTGTCAATAATAAAGACAGAAGGAGATATCAGAACGCTTTTGAGATATAAAGATGTCTCTTAAAATGTGGTGGCTTAATTTTCTGTACAGGCAAATATCCAATCAATTATGGCCTCAGAAAAACAGGTGAATATCTTGATGAAGTTGCTGGATGAAGCTCTAAAGGAAGTTGACCAAATTGAGCTAAAGCTGAGCAGTTATGAAGAAATGCTTCAGAGTGTAAAGGAACAAATGGATCAAATTTCAGAAAGCAACCACCTAATCCATCTCAGCAACACAAATAACGTGAAACTGCTGTCAGAGATAGAGTTCTTAGTGGTAAGCATTTTTATTGTGGGTACTATGGTTGTTCACATCAGGTATAAAATTCTTTTAAGTTCCTACCCTCTTTAGCAAACGTATGTTAGGTTTATTTAAAATAATGAGTTTATTTTTCTGTTTTATTATTGCACTAACTTCAGTAAATATGATGATGGAATTGTATTTATCATTCAAAGCATAGCAGATTAACCTGCTTCTGATTTATGGACGGTACTATCCATTATTTTGTAGAATCACATGGATTTGGCTAAAGGTCATATAAAGGCCCTTCAAGAGGGAGATCTGACTTCTTCTCGAGGCATTGAGGCCTGCACTAATGCAGCAGATGCCCTTCTCCAGTGTATGAATGTAGCTCTTCGTCCAGGTAATGTTTTTGTTAGATTACAGTCTAACATACAAAATTTATTATGGCAGTGCCTTTATTCTATATGCCTTTCCAACTAGTCTCAAATTTTGTTTCTGTAGTTTGAGGGAATTGTGACCTCTGGTCATCTTGATTCCCATATACAATATATTACTATGTATTTTGTACTCTGTGAAGTTCTTTTTGGTTTTAGGACATGATATGCTTCATGCAGTGAAACAGCAACAGCAGCGGTTTAGTGACTTGCGTGAGCAATTTGCACGGAGACTTGCCAGTCATTTGAACAGCGTATTTGTTCAACAGGTATTATTTCTTACTATTTAATACAAAATTTTTGGTCAAACTTTTCCTAAGAAGAGAAACAATCTACCTAAAATTGGACGTGTTCTGTGAATGTAGGCAGTGAATGAATGGACTGCTAGAAGCACTTCAGGCAGAGATATTACCAAGCATACCAAACTATAGTGGCCTACAGAAGTCTCTTACATTTAAAAAACCCCACCTCTTTTTAGTGGGTTTGCTATCTGAATTAAACACATCCTGTGATATATAAGGGTTTATTTTAATTTTAAAGCTTGATTAATTGAGGAGAAAAAGCATTGGCTTTTTTTTTAACGGTGTCAGAGGCTGAGAACGTTGGAGTTCTTGCTGTCTGAACTTCAAGGGCGATTAAAAAAAAACACCACAAAAAACCCAAAAAAGAACCCAAAAAACAAACACATACAACGTTAAAAGTTTGAACCATGATTTTTGAGCCTTAACTTGAAATATTCAGAAATCATTGTCCTGAGACTTGTTTCCTAAAGGCTGGATGTCTTTTTAGCATCAGTTTTTAAATTTCTGTATTTTTTTTTATCTCCAATTAGTTTACTCAGACCCTCCTTCAACTCTATAACAGGTCCTACTATCTTTCCGCTCCAGTGAGTACATCAAGTTTGATACAAGCTTTTCTAACTAATTTTTTTGAGCTTGACTTACCTAACTAGCAGCTGCATCTTTGGCTTTACAAAAATAAATTTGTCCTTACGGATTGCAGAGCTTCAGACTTATGCCCCTTCTCACTTCCATTATTTTTATGATCCCTCAAGCTTCGTTTATCTGTTTATGAGCTAACAAGCCTCTGATCTGATCTTCAGAAATTGCTAAGAGACAGACTGAGGTGTATGGAGGAAAAATGTTTTCACGAAATTGTAATATGGGTACAACTGTACATATATTGCAATGTGTGAAATTGTAATATTTGTAAATAAAAAATAATTCTGTTTTTATACATATTAGCACAATCAAAGTTTTAGAAGTTTTAGTTTTTATGTATTAGACTGCGTGCAGAAAATGGAATAGAGTTACGCTGGATAATTGTATAGAAAATTGCATTTGAGAGTACAAGCCTGGCTTTTTATGGAAAAGATAAGCGCTTCCTACATTTTCTTCACTTTGCAGAATTCTAGTTCCACAGCATGTTAAATTTTTTGCCTTTAGTTTCTGTTCTTAAGAAGGTATGTTTCTTCTGTTACTTTTCATATTTTGAAAAACTGAGCATAGACTGTGTGTTCTGGCTTTAAATAAGCAAGCAGAAGCTATATTATGTTAAGTCCTGTGTAAATGCATTCACAAAGTTAGAATACTGGAATTGAGTATGGAAGTGGCTGTTTAACAGAATGCCTTTTCTGATGTTCTGTTCTGAGGATTTTATTTTTTAAAATGGTAAGAGATTATTATTACTAAGTAATACTATGTATTAGGTGAAATACTTCTAAAAGAGACTTTTCAGTGCTATTGAGAATGCTATTACCAATTTGCAATATTTTTTTTCAATTTTTTTTTTTTAAATTGTGGTACTAATAGTGGCCTCACATTGTTTTTCATATCAATTTCCCCTCTGAAAAGTTTCGGCCTGCTGATAGCTGTGAGGTATTAATCAGCAGATAAAAAATGCAACCTCGCTGTAAGGTTAAGCAGGGAGAGTTCATTAACTGCAAGAGATGAACCTGTGCAAAGCCTTTTTGCTTGTTGTAAAAGAAAAAAAAAGTGTGTATTTCATTTTGCAGTACCGATTCAAGTGTTGGAGGTATAACAGATTTTTGTGTCATCTTACTAAAATGGCTTTGTTGTTAGTCTGATGAACAGAATATAGCAATTTCTCAGTCCCATGTTTTTGCAAAGTCTAACTGGAATAGTTTGTTACCTTTAACATCTGAAGAGTTGCATTATTTGTTTAAAATGTTTCTTTAAAAGAAAAAAATAAAAGTAGGTAAGAAAAACTAAGGCAGATAAAGATTTCTAAATTAAAACAGCAAATGAAAACATGATGATGTCTAGGCAGCTGCCAATACAAGCAAGACATACTCTGATTCAGAACTCATTAGGTGGAAAATGAAAGATGCATTGACATTTTAGCCTAAATGTATTATCTTGGAAGTATGAAATTGTTCTTTTTTTTTTAAAAGCAAACAAACCCAATGCTGTGATTCAAACTACTGTTATAAGATATTAAGATGTTTCATCTCCTTTACATTAAAATGTGAATAAATCTTAAAAGTTTTAAACAAATGCAGCTTTGGATTGCTGTTCACTGCAGCATTAAAAACTGTTTGCGGTAACTGTTACTAACAGTTAATGCAGTTGCCTTTATTGTGTCCTAATAATATTTGATTAATCTTACTGTCTGTCTATAACTCTAAAGGGTTTTTTTTTTTTAACAACCAGGTTCAGCATTTGGTTAAAAGGCAACTCTGGGCTTTGTGCCTTTGAAATATGAAGTAATTTGAAGCTTTGAAATGATGAAACAGTTGAATAACAAACTTGCAGTTTTGTTTGGTAACACTTGATATAAATGTGTAGTGAGAGGAAGCCTGTTAATTAGATGGAGAAGGTGCACCTAGAAGCTCCATGATGTTTTGGTGCAGACTTGAACAGGACATAATTTAGGACAACCAGAATGATTAGTCCTGTGGAAAAGTTGGATTGGAGAGAGAAATTTATTTTGGGAGGGGATTTCTCATCTAGCATTATGAAGAATGCAACTACTAAGCAGAAATAAAAAGTTGTGTGTAATAAAGGGACATGAATAAAGTGGTTTGATGAAAGAAGCACTACAAACTTGGATAGCTGAGAGTATTTCTTAGCAGTAATATGAACTAGCCTTTGGACTGACTTAGTTGAAGAAAGCTATGAAAGCCACCAGATAAATTGTCTTAAACTATAATGAACTTGAATATTAAAATGCGTGCTGTAGGAATGTTGCAGGGGATAGGAGAGAGAACTATAAATGTTTTTCTACGTCTGTTTTTTATAAAGGCATATCAAAGATTTGTTGAAAAAATTTGCTGGGTGCATGCCCAAAATTACAGACTGTATTGAGTATGACCTGAGTAGTCACATCAGCAGCTGTGTGGCTAATGCTGGCTGGATTCCAATTCCAAATGATATGTTGCAGTAATTACACTTTACAAAGTTAGCATTTGGTTGGAGTTGAAATACAAGATTTTTCTCAAAAGGGAGATTTATAGTGTGACCCTTGCCCATTGTCTGTGAGAATAAATGAATGAAGTTGTTTAGGACTTGTTTCTTTGGGTCCATTTGCGTCTCAGTTTAAGTAATTAAGGGAACAGGACTCAAACTAAGTGCATGTTTATGTTGGATTCAAAAAAGTACTGGAAGAGGTTGCCCAGAGAAGCTATGGATGCCCCATCCCTGGAAGTGTTCAAGGCCAGATTGGATGGGGATTTGAGCAACCTGGTCTAGTGGAAGGTGTCCCTGCCCATGGCAGGACTAGATGGTCTCTAAGGTCCCTTCCAACCCAAACCATACTATGATTCTGTGAAGTAGTACAGCTTTGTTCAGAACCTGGCATGTTTGCATTGCATTACTTAGTAAAGGTTAGTCTTTTACAAATAATATCAAGACTCATATCTTCATTTTTTTAAAACTAAAATGTGTGAATGTATTGTGGAAGCTTTTAGGGTGTTTTTAACCAGACTTGACCGGATTAGCACCCAACAACAGAGAAAGGTGAGCCAGCCGAAGTCGCTTTAGTTTTGACTCTATGATCCAAACTGGCTTCTTTTCCAACTTAAAGACATGCAAAGGCAGTTTTTAAACTATGTAACTTGTCATATCCATATATGTATCATACATATGTATCCATAACTTGTCATATCTGCCAACTTGTCATATCCAAGACGGAACTGTCCAGGAATGCTTCCTATGTCAGGGACTGACATTGACTGACCTGCATAAACCACCTGTGTGTTATGCTACAGGAATTGGAGCACAGTTAAGACAGTCTTTTTGTGCTGCCATGGCACAGACTATGCTTAAGATTTACTGGGCCGTATTTATTGCAAGCCCAGTAAATAAGACTTTACAGAAAATATTAAAGCCATTTTGAAATTAAGTCTTGTCCTCCCCTCTGTTAACCCAGGGCTAATGGTTGTGTGTTCTGGTACATGGCTGAACTGTGGTGTTACCTTGCTTGCTTCCTGAATTGCCCAGGAAGCTTGTGAGTTCAAGCGAGTGAAAGCTTAAAAAAGCTAAGTCACACGTTATTCAAGCAATATGATGTGATCTTCACTGAAAGGATAGTGTGTTTTTCAGGAGATAAACCAGAGAAAAGGAGGAGTGTGAAATTAGTAGCTTGCTGTTAAACGGATTGGTTTATGCTGCATGTCCTAAACTGTTTAGCAAATGTTTACTGAAAGTGTGTGTATGTGTGTGTCTACATTTGTGTGGAGAGAGAATGTGTGTGAACTGATGTTTTTAAGATTTGACCAAGGCTTGGGCAAAGTGGACTAAAGTGGGTTGAACTGGAGCAGACTTTCAGAGGCATAGCATAAAGCTCATCGTTAACACCTAGGCCACCCATTGACTGGGGACTTGAAATGTTCTATGGTATATGGGAACAGCATCTTTAAAAAGAAGCAGCTGTGGTTTGTTTGTTGTTGGTTTTTTTTTGGTTCAGAGAAATAATGTAATAATCTCTTAGAATTTTTCAGAAATAATTGAACACTTATCATCAAATCTTCACTCAGGTGTACCTTGGATTCTCACGCAAAAACTGCCAAATTGACTCACCCTGAAGGCAAAGTGGTAAACAACATGAGCCTTGCAATAAACAAGCTTACTAAGATGTGTTACCTGCCACAGCTATAATATCTCAGTATCTGTGTTATGTTAGGTGTCTTTTCAATCTGCATCTCTAGACTTTGTTTCTGTGCAAGGTATTTTGATGCTTTTCATCTGAATGAGATACTGTCTTCTTTTTAAGTTTTTCCAGAAACTTCTAGCACATCTGTATAGTGCTTCCAGATTTACTTTAATACTTTCTCTTATCAAGGGTCACGATCAGAGTTCTACTCTTGCCCAGCACTCTGTTGAATTGACATTACCCAATCACCATCCATTTCACAGAGATTTACTTCGATATGCTAAACTGATGGAATGGCTCAAGAACACAGATTATGGAAAATATGAAGGGCTAACAAAGGTATGTGAAGTACTCAAATGATGGTAGAGAATGTACATAATATACTATTTTTGAGAGTCAAAAGAATTGCCTGGGTATATGTGCATGTACTTCTAATACTCCTTTATTTTAAACTTAATTAACTGCTCTTCTTTTCTTGTTCCTCTTTGGAATAGGAAACTTCATTTTTTGGTGTTTGTTTTATCTTGTTTGTTTTTTTCCCTCCAAGATTCTATGTCTCTGTTCTGAAGTATCATAAGATATTAATCTCAATATTTATGTCAAACAAGTTTGCCATTTTACAATCTAGTAAGAAAAATAATTAAGCTATTTTCATGTTGATGTGCTTATTGCCTGTGTGACATCATTATTTCAACAGACCTTCATTTCACTTGGGAATATCAAAAACTTCAGATGTCTCTTGTAAAGTAGATTAAATAGAAATATTTTGGCTTTGTATATATGTAACTTTTAACTACCTTGTTTAAAACTGACATGGAGTGAAAAAATTACTACAGAAGTATAGAAAATGTTAAAATGTTAAATCTTCTAATAAAAAATTGAGAGACATTTATGTATTATGTGTGCTAAGTAACAAAGTTTTGCAGAACATAGGGGAAAAAACCCACTCTTGGGTGATCTTTGTCGGTAAATAAAATATTATTATAACTTTTGTACTAAAAATCTAAACAAACAAACCAGATAATCTTCAAACTTATTTCAGTTGTTGTGTCTCTTATCTTTTTAAAATTTGAGCTATTTTGGGCAGTGTTGCAAAGAAATTATTTCAGGATTGATTGACTCTTACAGTAAGTAGGCATACAGAGTTTGTGCCTCCCATTTGTTTTTCCTTCTGAGAATAGTAATAAAGGAGATCACGTGCTCAGGAAGATGTGTAGGAATGGCATCCTATTTGCTCTTTTTTGGGCATAGTAAAACTCTAGTAATAGAGGCTACAGAGAATGGTGCTAAATTCTCTCCATTCTACCCTTGAGTTGAATTCTATGATGCTCTACCACTAGGAATCCTATTTATGTGTACCACATTGCATTTCTTTCCTTATGGAGGAGAAGTAGCAGTTTCTGATTGATGCTCAATGAACTCACTGGGAGAGTGAATATAACCTGTTTAAATATCATTAATATATTTTTGTGCATGCTACATAAATATATGTATATGTAGTCCAAAACAGTTTGTTATTTAGTGGAACGTATATACTTCCTGGTTTTTAAGAACTATTTAACTGTAATAGAGCAAAGTAAATATGTATACTTGTTAACTAATTTTGCATTTTTCTTTTAAGAATTATATGGATTATTTATCACGACTTTATGAAAGGGAAATAAAAGACTTCTTTGAAGTTGCCAAGATCAAGATGACGGGCACAACCAGAGAAGGAAAAAAGTTTGGTAAGCTTCCGGGAGGCGCATATCTTGCTTTGAATCTTATTATTTATTATAAAATACTCATTACAACACCTAGGCCCAGTTTTATAATGATGTAAAATTGTTTACTTTTGGCAAGCTAGAAGAAGTTAGATGAAAAATATGATTGGTAAAACTTCTGACTTCCACAAGGCCAAAGTAGCACAACTGAAATCTTGTGAAATTGGTCAAGATGAAAGATAAAATATGATATTTCTCAGATTTTCAAATCTACGCTTTTTAACAAACCACTAACCATATTTTATTACTTGAATTATCCCACTTTATTACTGGAACAAACTTGAAAAATCAGCTCTTGTAATTAAAGAAAGCTTGGACAGCACGTGCGTGTGTTCCTTCTGCAATTTTTTTTTCTTTTAATAAGTTTTGGGTGGATTTTGAAGAAGCTAGTTTTAATGATAATTCTGCCTAAGGAAACTTGTGTATTTCACTGTGTTTTCAGTAGGATTTAACTATGTAGTCTGATACTAGAAATCATACTTTGTTAACTTGTAGGTCTTTCCATTTAAGGGAGTATGTATTCCTGCTAGGATTAAATAGTCTAGTGTGAGTATGGAAGTGAAGCTTTTAAAAAAATAACCTGAGTACTTAGAAAGCAACAGTGATATAGGTGTATTTAGGTATTGGCTATTCTATATTTTAAAGTGTACAGCTTCAAAACTTGTTTAAAATATTTATATTTGCCACAGTTCTGCAGTTTCCGAATTCTAAATTCAGAAATGATATGCAGCTTTAACTAGTAAGTTCTATGAAGCCTGTTTTGGGTCCTGAACTTGTGCTTTGAAGTTTCATGATAGAAAACAGAAAAAAGTAATGAAAGAAAGAAAGAAAGCAGGAGAATGGTGAGGATTGATTGAGGGAGGGGGAAGCTTTAAAGATAAGTCTTGGCAAGCTGTTGGACATGGACAGCAAGTGATGCCATAGTGTGTTGTCAGAACAGTTAAATTCATAAATCTTGAAAAGCTATCTTATTGCAAGAAAAAAACATTTTATCCTAATATAAATTGATTTCTGAAACATTCTAAACACTTTATCTTGGCACTTCTTTTGTGATTTGCATTTGTGAGGAAACAGTTTTTGTAGCAATTTCCTGACTTCTGTAAATGTTATGGAGTGATGAGGCATTTTGGAGAAAGAGGTCCGTCAGTTCACCAGCATAAGAGCTGCACCTTGAGAAGTTCTTCTGTTGTGTATTTGTGCAAATGTATGCATTTTGTAACAGCTTATAACGGTGTGTAATTTCAAAGGCTTCTATGTCGAAGGTGATGGTTGTACTATTACTAGTTGCACATTAATTCAGAATACATCACTTCGTAATAGCAAACTTAAGTAAGGAATAGTGTAGGTGCATAATGCTCCAGTTGTACTCGGACACTAAAGATGACCTGTTTCCAAGCTGTGTTGGTGTGTGTTCTTGCCTTTTTTTTGTGCTTTGGGAATAGCACTGCTATTTGAATGCCTCAAACGCAGAGGGGATGCTGGGAGAATTCTGGCATTCTGTGCTAGTGCAAGGTTCTTTGTCTGCATTTTTATGGCAAAAAAAAAATCTGGGTTGTAAGCATTCACACTTGTCTTAAGTAGTCTTTTTTTTTTTTTTTCCCTTCTTTTCTGATGAAGCCAAGCTTTGATACTTAAATACCATAAAATCAATGTGCTACAGAGTGCTACTACTGTCATATGTTCATATGATGTGGCTTCTCAAAAGCCGCTGTGGCTCCCGTGATTGTCCAGGGCCTGACCTGTAGTTCTTCACATTCTGTAATATAGTCATGTGCATTTGGAAATTGAGGACAATGAAGAAGTGGGACCAATGCATGACAGATGCATATGCCAAATACATCAAGCCTAAAGCTTTTTGTTCAAAAACGGCCAAAACCCCCAAGATCTAAAAACTAGGCTGGAATTAAATTTGAGTTTGACGTTACAATTGTCAGTAGTGTTGCCTACTTGAGAACATCTGGTATTTAAGACATGTTTGTGGCATTTAGAAGTATTTACTCATTTGATTACAGTAGGTTCTGCTTGCCTGCTCCATTTTGGGGGGCTTGTAGCATCCATCCTCATCAAGATCTTCTTAATACCACATACTGCTTTTAGTGTATGTATGCAAATGCCTTTTACTGGTTAGGGATTCTCTGTTTACTGCGAATGTCCATTTGCTCTAAATTTCATATGGAAGTCCACTTGAGGAAATGGTTTTATTCTGAAAAAAACAGGAGAAATAAAAAAAAAATCTTGTAAATTTTTTACTAAATATTTATTGTTTTCATCCTTTCTGAATTTGCAGTCGTCAATTTTTGGCGCAGCATGAATACAAAATATGTATTCTCTATGTAAACATGCTGATTTGCAAACAACAGAAAAAGTTAGCCAGTCTTACTGTTGATATGAATAATTTTGCAGTATTGGTGTGTGTTTTTTAAATTGAAGAGGTGGACTATATCTCTGACTCAGTACAAAATTACATAAGTACACTTTAATTTCCTCATGTTTATTATCGATATGATGATTGATCTTGGAAACTGAGTCTTTTGCAATATTAAGTCTGCCAAATAAAACCCTAATTTAATGGACTTCTCAATTTGGGAAAACTTAAATACATGTTACCAAAAATGTTCTTTGAACACACTATATAAGGAAAAGCAAAGCTTAATACTTAGAAACTTACTCTGTTTTCCATGTAGCTTAGATACTGAATTTCTAGAATAGTACCTCTCCAACTAAATGTGTTTGCAATGTAGTTATTTGCTGCTTATAGTTCTCCGCATGTTTCTTTCCAGTTAGAGCTTAACTTGCATCTTGTGCATGGTTTGTGCAAACTGCATTTTAACTTGTCTTTGTCTTTGATGCTTGCAACCTAATCCATCCCAGCTACACTGCCTCGAAAAGAAAGTGCTGTCAAACAGGAAACTGAGAGTGAGTATAACTAGTTGCATTAGTTGGTATTGTCAATGCATGTGTGTCAATGTAAAGATATAGTGCCGCATCATGGAAAATCTACCTAACACTGAAGCAGTCTGTTCAGAATGAAACAAGCATTAGCAGAATCATTGTTTTTGCAAGGCAAAAATGAAGCATGGCTAAAATGGCCCAACATAGAAGCTGAGGATGTTTGCAGATAAAGGCAGCATCTTTTGGTTTTCCCATGCTGCTAGTTGATATAAAAAATATGTTTGTGCCTGAGAGCCTGTCGTAGTTTTTCAACTCTTTCAATAGACTGAGGTAGCAACTTCTATTAGATCTATAGACTTTGTCTTGTGTCCCTAGACTAGATACCAACGTAGCAGTTAAATGAAACCTGCAGGATTGCTTTTAAGTTTCCTAGTGGTTGAGATGTGAGAAGTTCACATGGGGGTCAAATATTGATGATTTCTTGGTCTTTTTTTGTTACTAGCTTTCTCCAGCCTATACCAACATTTCTGAAAATTTGGGAAAAAATAAAAATAAAAAGATGCGCTTCTCACCTAGGAGAAGGCCGCACAAGATCAGGAAGAAATGTCTGAATGTTAATTATGATCACAAGGAGGGAGGGAGCATTAGCAGTAGAATTACTATGGAATTGTAGATCCAGCAAAATAGCTGGAGCAAACTATGTAGACAAAAGGATGTTAACAGCAGAAAGATCAAGTTCAAGATGAAAAAGTGCCTATGTGTATATAAAGCTTTTCAATTTTTCCCCCCCCGTGGATTAATTCTTCTGCTTGTGGCAGCCTTTGCCCAAAGTACGTTCACAAAGATCATAACAGGTCTTTGCTTCCAAGTTTTCAAGGAGAATATCTATCCCAGTGTTTCTGTATTTCAGTTTTGTTCCTTTTATACCTTTTCCGTACTTTACTATGAGGGCTTATATATCTGCATTGTACTTTGAAACTTGCTGAAGTATTTCAGTTATCTTGTAGCGAGAAAAGAATGTGTTTATAGCAACATTTGCAGCTTAGACAAAAATTGAGTTGTTTGATTTTAATGGAGGACTGCTAGCAACTCTTGATCTCATACGTTCTGTAATGAACCTGTTGATCTTGAGTATTTTATTCTGCCTTTGCTTCCCTCCTTCATAGCATCTTTATTTCACAGGTCTTCATGGAAGTTCTGGAAAATTGACTGGATCTACTTCTAGCCTAAATAAACTCTCTGTTCAGAGTTCGGGAAACCGTAGGTCTCAGTCATCCTCACTGTTGGATATGGGAAACATGTCTGCCTCTGACCTTGATGTGGCCGATAGAACTAAATTTGATAAGGTAAAGCCAAAACGTCGCATAGGATTCCTGCTTAGTTTTGTATCAGAATCGTCTTACATATCCTTGTTGTATAGTTTAAAAATCTGTACTGTTTAAATCTGAAAACATGCCAATTTCAAATTCTGTATGTACCACACGTCTAATAAAGGCAGTTTCTAAGAAATATGTAGATCAGAGTATTGTTCTCTGATTATAAGATTCAGTTTAGTTCTGTCATATGCTGCGTGTGCTCTTTAAAAAAGATCAAGCATAAAATGGTCTATTAAGTTTAAGCCCAATATGCATTTTTAAGCAAATAGGAATTGAACTGATGGATTCTTCAAGCAATTTTATTTTTCTCAATACAAATGTTCATGTGTTCTGTTGCATTTTGCCAGTATGTAAGGAAAAGTGAAAGATAAGAAAGCATAAGCTTCTTTTAGCCAGAACTTGAGCATGGCCCTCAAATTTTATTTATTCTAGTTTCACATCAAAGTTATCGTCAGTTTTCAGCTTTAATCAGTGGCACTAAGTTGTTATTGGAGTGTCCTCAGCATCTGCTTAAAAACCTTCTGTCCTCAGCATCTTTTTTTTTTTTTTTTTTCTTCCCTCCCCTTTAAAAGTGACAGTATTCCTCACTTCTTGTGGAATGAACTCCTCAGTACTGTGGAGGGAAAAGGAGCTGTTACCAGAGTGAGAGATAAAAATAACTTTCTTGTTCTCTATTGAATTATTTGATGGAGATGAGTATTTTTCTTCTGACTTCTTCAAATACTTGCTGGGATGAAATACTATATGACTAAAACAATATTAAGTTGTTATACACCTGTAGCAGCAACTTGCCTAGAATTAAAATTACAGCTTTTTAAAACAATTTTATATAAGTATTATGCTATTTTTTTCAACTTCTTCTGACTTTTATCTCACCCACTGGGGACATGTGAGTTTGACTAATGTATACAGAGTTACAAGCTATTGAGTTGACCTAGTAGGGTTTGTTTGTTTGTTTTTTTCCTAGGGGAATTTTCACTAAGGTGGATTTACTATGTGGCTAGATTGGTTTCATTTATGTAAATTATTGCACATCTTAATCCTTAAATACTTGCAGATAAAATTCTGTCTTGTGTAAAGATGACAGATTAGAAGTATGTCTAAACCTGACTTACAATTTCAGTAGTTCATATTAATAAAACTAAGTTACTTTAATAAATTATTGTCAAAATAGTGTTTCATTTTAAATTAAATCTAAAAATCATGATGAATACTTCTATTTCACTACAAAACCTGCTGTTGGTTTTTGTAGCAACTATGTGGAAACTTTTTCTACAGAGCAGTTATCATCTACATACACAGTTTACCTGTTTTCCTTCCCTGAGGCATTTAATTTTGTATTCTTCCTCTCAGCAACCCAGGCAGAAAAGACAGTGGCAGAACCTGTGTCTTGCTATTAAAATGTGAATGTTTTCATTATAGCACAAAAGTCCTTCCTCAGGCTGTGACTAGAAAACTTGTAGTTGTAGAAAAACATAGGTTGTTCTTTTCTTCCTAGTGTCATATAGATGAGAAGGGGCTATGTTGAAGATGCAGATACCACTTTTAAAGATGTAACTACAAGCTGTTTCCATTTCTATTAAGTAGAAATAAACCTTCTAAAGCTTACTGAAGAGAGAAAGTATAAAATCCTATGCAACAAACAAAATTAGTATTACTAACTGTTCATACTATTTGGTATGTTGATAAAATATTTGGCTTTCTTCAGATTTTCGAGCAAGTATTAAGTGAACTAGAGCCTCTCTGTCTGGCAGAACAGGACTTCATTAGTAAATTTTTCAAACTACAGCAACATCAGAACATCTCGGGAACAACAACGGTATGACTCTTCATTCTCACTGAAGTAAAAAATACTGAACAGGCCTCATATGAGACCTGTTTAAAAGATAACTTCTGAATTTATCTGGCAATTAGGTCATCTAGGTGATCAATGATTTGGTTTTCTCCATTAGCTGGCAGAATCTTTTTTCTTTTTGCTAACCAATACAAAATCAATTTAAAAAAGGACTGACCTGTTTCTCTTGCCATGGCTTTGTTTCCTCATAAGATCACAATAAATACTTCATCATGCTATGTAGGAACGCAATGGGGAGTAATGGTGGATAGTGTTGCATTCAGTAGAACATGACCAGAAAAATACCAGAACCTAGCAAGAGTATTTGCTACTTTGGGGAGGGGGAAACTAATCATTAATGTTGGTTTTGTCAGATAGTTATCACTTAAATATAGGATTGGAGACAAACTTTCAGCTTTGTTTATATACATTCCTTGTTCTTACAGAATGAAGCAGAGGAAATGGATGGAGGAACTTTATCTCGTTCATATACTTCTGGTGTTCCACAAACAATATCATCTGAGTATGTGCTGCTGTTGTTTATTATTGATTCTTAAGCCTACATGTGAATTTAGTTGGCATATAAAACTTTGTAATCAGAAATGGTTCCCTTTTAGTGAAAGTGAATAGTGAACTCTTAATTTGTACCTAGACACTGAACGTGTCAGTAAATGTACAAATTTTTGTATATAGGATGGATGTTTCTGTCTATAGTAGTATAAAAACGATGCTTAATTCTCTAATAGTTTGCAAAGTGAAACTAAGTACTGTAATATGTAAAATACGCTTTGAAAAATATGCTTAGCAAAGTTCTGAATTTGAGTGTGTGGCAGCTTCCACACAGAAAATACTTTGTTGAATATTTTATACCTGTGACTATTGATTTTTACTGTGTGGCATTGGCATTTCTTCCCTTAGCAGCATTGTGAAAATCAGGGACTTGTTGAATGTAAATGAGACTACTATATCCAATAAACTTATCCTAAAAATGTTATCAAAGAACATGTAAAATAGCCTAGTAAACTGTCAGAGTAATATTTTTATCTTATGCATTTTTAATAGGAAGGACATGATCCGACAAATGATGACAAAAATATTTCGTTGTATTGAACCTGAGCTGAATAATCTTATAGCGCTGGGGGACAAGATTGATAGCTTTAATTCCCTTTATATGTTAGTTAAGATGAGCCATCATGTATGGACAGCACAAAATGTGGACCCAGCTTCCTTTCTCAGCACAACACTTGGAAATGTTTTGGTGACTGTCAAAAGGAACTTTGATAAATGCATTGTAAGTTCTTTAGTTATTCTGATTTAAGCTAACTATAATATTATAGGAAGCCCACTCCTACCCAGTTTGATTTTGCATTTCTTTATAGTTAAATTTTTGCTTTTAATTTGAAGTGAAAATGAGTAACTTTATTGCTCTTCTACTAGCCGAACCTTCAAAAAAGATAAATTCATTGGTGGTTGTGTTTCTTTTTCCTCTCCATTCCAATTTTCTTCCATAGTTAGCTATTTGTAACAAATATGATCACTCATTCACTGCTCTGAGCTAGTTGACATTTTTAGTTGTTTGTTTAAACTTGTACTCTTTCTGAGATTACCGGAGTCAGCCAAGTAAACTATAGCTCTCTGCCTTATTCACTTACTGAAAAAAAATTCTCATGAACTTATGAGGGTTTTGCTTTTCTCTTTTGAGCATAATATGTCAAATAGACATCTCTTCCAGGTGTTCAGTTGTTTCTATCTTATGTCTCACAAAAACTTGGTTTAGATAAAATGGCAAATCTTTTGGCAGTAGCAGAGGCAGCTTTTACTATCAGAAACTTCCTTTTGCTAATACATTATGACCATTATATGAAATATGGCAAGTTTAGTGAAAACATATTTGCTGGTATAACTTTTTTAATTGCCATAAATGTAATTTGACTCTAGGCCACCATAACAACCAATGACCATTCTTGATCAGTCTCATGCTTAAAATATTTGAAGCTGATTTTTTTTTTTTTTTGTTTATACTCAGAAATAAAATATTGGTAGATTAAACTTCCTGTAGCAACAGGAATTGTTAGCTTGGCTGAATGAAAAAAAAAAAGTGAAGTTCCTTGTTAGATTATAGAATGAAAATTGTTAATTGCTTCTGATGGATAAGTTTGGTGTTTTTCTTTTTTTCCTTGGGTTATTTTTTTCTTAATACTAAGTAAGTAAACAAAAGAGAATAAAAACTGGAAGATTTTACTTGCCCATCTTCCTTTTTTCTTTCCAATTATTTAATTTCTTAACAAATTTTTGAGGATAAAAAGGGAGGAAGACTACGTAGATATACTAATTGAAAGATAAAATTGTTTCCATGTTTAAATAAATGTCAGATTTTCAGTATGTCTGCATTTTTCTTTTTTCTTACTAGTTGTTATATGGTCTGGAGTCATATATTAGAGGCTAACATCTGCTCTTGTTTTAAATTTTAGAGCAATCAAATGAAGCAGATGGATGAAGTAAAAATCTCAAAGAAGAGTAAAGTCGGGATCCTTCCATTTGTTGCTGAATTTGAAGAGTTTGCAGCCCTTGCTGAATCAATTTTCAAAAATGCAGAACGACGAGGAGATCTAGATAAAGCCTACATAAAACTTATTAGAGCTGTTTTTGTCAGTGGTAGGTCTTCTGAGGTTGTCACAATTACTAAAATGATTGTTTCCTCCTATTTATATATAATTTTGCTACAATTAACAGATGATTATTATTTTTTTTAAGAATCTCTGTTGCAAGCCACGTGACCGATATTGTGCTGAAATTGTGGTTATCTCTCTTATCAGTAGGAGAGCAAGTGTAAACCTTTTGATTGTAATATATTTTTTAAGAGCAAACTGTAGATATTTCCCTTTGTACATACCTGTAAAGTAACTTTCAGTTATGACAGAGGGAAGTGGTTAAGCCTCTGGAGGGAGAGAGCAGAGGGCAGCAACATGACACGCTCAATCTGAAGTGGTTTCCTGTCTTTTCTCCCCCAGTGTAGCTCAAATGAGGAGGTGAATCTGGATGGGATCCCTGGCATTTGGCCTTTATACCATTCATCTTCACAGCCCTGTCTAAAATAAATCACTTGAGTTCTGGCTATGAATTTGAGCCTTTCTTGGCAGATGAGGTCCTTTGTGTCCTAACTTGACACAGCAGAACATCTCTCCAGTCCTGCCTATTTTCCCAGCTATAGTCTGGAAAAACAGCAGTAACACTCTTGTTCTACTGGTTTTATTTAACATTAACAAAAAAAAAAAAAAGGTGCATGGGGAGTGTGGATATGCAAGCCAATGAACTCTGGAAAAATTGTCCTTCCCTTTTAAAATGGGAACACACACAGATGGATGGACCTCTCCATGCTGATTTACCTGCAAATTTTCAAACTCCCCGTATAATAATTCCCAACCACTCAGACTTACCTCTTCTTTAGGGGAAGATTGGGCAAGAGGAGACAGTAGAGACAATAAAGCTAGCCTGAGGAAATTACAGCATAGTGGTTCTGAACATATTAGGAAATTGTGAAGAGACATTATTTCATAGTACAGTAAACTACAGTCCATATGTAGTCAGCAGGAGCATCTCAGCTGATAGGACAGTAAATTTTGAAAATGTTTTTTATTTGATTGGATCTAACCTTTCTTTAAGAATTTACTGTTCAAGTGATAAAACTAAGCAAACACCAATAGACAGGCAAAAGTATACAGTGGTAAAATAACTACTGTAGGAAGAATTTAAAAAAGCATGTTTTAAAAAGGGTTCAAAATTATGCCAGTCAAACACTGAAGAACAAACAAAATCTGTTTCAAACAAGTACAGAGCAAACTTAAAGAACAAAGAATTAGGGAATAAGGGATAGGAGTAAAGAATGATGATTAAACAAAATTATGTACAAAGTCTGTGCAAGCAGTATGTTTCATGCAGTAGGACATTTAATTTACAAGTAATGTTTGAAACAGGTCAGAAAGATGTAGTACTTCAGGTAGAAAGAGAGCGAGAGAGTAGAAAATCATGTGGGAAGAACAAAACTGGCAGTAGCAGACTTTTCCTAATAGGCAATTCAGTGTTCTGACTGAAATGAATTTGTGATCTTTATTGATACTCTGGTGCCCAGGATCACTTTCATGGTGGGCATCCTGGTAGTCTCAGCAAAACAATTAGTAGATGAACAGGCATAGAGACTTCATTGCGCTCTTGGTTGAAGCCATCCTCTTTCAGCCTGCTTTTAAGTGTAATAAGGGAGTGATAGGTAGAATTTCCTTTGCCTGCCCTGTTTTGGTTTTTTTTTTTTTTTGTTGGGGGGGGGCGGGGCAGGCACAGGGGTGGGGAATCTGAAAGTAAGAGACCTGTGTGCAGGATTATCCATTTTTTATTATTAAATTATTAAATTTAGGGATTGACAGTAACTTAGACCATAAAACTGGTAAGTAAAAGTTGAGAGATTGTACGTTTTAAAAAACCCCACCACCTTATTGAAGATTTTTGTTCTAGCAAAGAGGAGAATCAATTTTCTTTGATTTTTCTTAATACTTTAAGAAATGGACTTTTCTTAAATAGCTCTATCATGTGAAATTTGTTAGGGATAATGAAAGCATGCTTGTAAGCCTCCACAGAATGTGGGTTGTTTCTCACGTATGTAAATGAAACCACATCTAGTCACTATTTTGTATCTTTTTATAAGTAACTTTTTTGGCATACAAATGTCATGGTCTTAGAGCCTGTACATATCTGTTGCTTTTTTTTGAAGGCTCTCAGAAATTAACTTATTTAGTGGCAATTATGACAATAATTGATACAAAAGGTTATCATTGATACAAAATCCAAAATTCCTTTTCTGACAGTATTATGGTTATTGGTTATGTTTTTCTGAATTTGGTCATCCTTTTGGTATGTTAAGTATTTTCCTTCCTTTCAGTTGAGAAAGTAGCTAATGAAAGCCAGAAAACACCCAGAGATGTGGTCATGATGGAGAACTTCCATCATATTTTTGCAACACTTTCTCGCTTGAAAATTTCTTGTCTTGAGGCTGAGAAAAAAGAAGCCAAACAGAAATACACTGATCATCTTCAGTCTTATGTAATCTACTCACTCGGACAGCCTCTTGAGAAACTAAATGTAAGTATATTTGAGTTTATATACCTTTAAATGGTACAGAGTAGTCTTCTCAAGTGTTTAGTTTGCACTATCTGATCTCTTTATCACTACACCTATCATAATCTCTATTTTATTATTGTAAACTTGAGCATGCCTGGCAAGAGTACTGTACTCATAAGGGTGACAATCTTGGACGAAAATAACCAAGTTTTTCATGGCAGTTAATAGTATTGACTAAACATCAGTTGTGTCTTAAGCAAATGGTTTTGAGGAAGGAAAAAGTGAGGGGGAAAAGTAATCAGGAGCTTTGCAATAATTTTCCTCACCTCAACAGCAGAGACAATTACTGTAGTTTCTGAACTGTTCAATAATAAGAAAAATTTTAGGAAAGTTCGGTATATCCGAAGTTGAACTAAGTGTTAAACTGAATGCTGACTTAGGTTCAGACTCAGTTCTGCCCACTGAATGTTTCCCACTATTCACTGCTTTTCCTATAAGCAGGATTTCAGCATTCATTTTCTGAAAAGTCCAAGATGTATTCTCTTTTTGAAAATTCAAATGCTTTATTGCTGCTTCCCACTTGCTGTGTGTTGACTCTGACCAGCACCTAAACTACCACATAACTAACTGCTTGCTTGCTTCCTGCTCAGGGGGAAGAAAATAGGAGGGGAATAGGAGAGAATAGGATGAGCAAATGTGAGGAAAACTTGGGGGTGGAGATAAAGACAGTTTAATCAATGAAGCGGGGCGGGGGGAATACGTGATGCAAAGGCAGGCAGTCACTCGCTACCTCCCACAAGCAGACTGATGCCCAGCCCGCCCTCAGTGGCATGCGAAACTGAGAAGTCCTTGACTTAGTTGTTGCTAAGTAGTGCTTACTCTAAAACATCAGTCCGTCGTCAACATTCTCGTACTAAATCCAAAACCACAGCACTGTACCAGCTATGAATTCTATCCCAGCTGAAACCAGGAGAAATCCTAATTTTTATAGCTGAGCGTGACGTTACATGCTATGGAATATCCTTTGGCCGGGTTTGACCTGTTCAGCAATAACGAATACATTGGTATGTTATCAGCCCTGTTTTTAGCCACAGATCCAAAACACAGCACTATATGGGCTGCTATGAAGAAAGTTAACTCCGTCCTGGCCAGACCCACTGCACTGTTTCAAATGTTGCTGTGGCTCTACATGGGTGTTCATAGGCATACTTCCCTCCATTTTTATTAGGTTGAGCCAATTGGTGTGGGGCAGTGAGAAGAGAGGTCAATTATGAACAAATATTGCTGTTGTGTAATAAAGGTTTAAGTAGAGAAATTCCTATTCAGGTGCTTACTCAGAAAGATCCGGTATTTTCCCAGGCTATGCCCTCATTAATTGAAGATTTTGAGGCTGATTCAGTATTAGTTACAAGGTTGCAAAGAAAAGCTTGATTGCTTCTAGAAATGACTGATTTCAATTTTATGCTAGTACTTAGAGTGCTATACTGTTGGGCTGTGCTGTAAAGTTTATGGGTGAGCACTACGTCATGTTCAATTAAAAAACAAAAATAGGGGGAACACACAAGAGTTGTCAAGCAGAATCAAGACTTAACTACACATATGCTTGTCAAATTAAGTTAATTAGTTTAGATTTGTGATAGTCATTAATGCTGTTATTGTTTGTTAGCATTTTTTTGAAGGTGTTGAAGCTCGTGTGGCACAAGGTATACGAGAAGAGGAAGTAAGCTATCAACTGGCTTTCAATAAACAAGAGCTTCGTAAAGTTATAAAGGAATATCCCGGTAAGGAAGTGAAGAAGGGATTGGATAATCTCTACAAGAAGGTAGATAAACATCTCTGTGAAGAAGAAAACTTACTTCAGGTAAACTAAACTATGGCTTAAAAACCTTGTAATGTTTACACAAAGGCTTTTTGTTATTGCTTTTGCATGAGTATTCTGTGAGAAGTGCCTAGCTTCAGCATAGCTCTGAAAAACCATGAATTTTGAGCAGAGTTTTTTATAATTCCACTCTGATTCTATTTGTTGTAACACTGATTTGAACTGTGCTGGTAGAGATAAGAGTTCAGGAAGAAACTTCTTTTCAGATTCCCTAGCTGACCATTAATGGGTGAGCTCTGTTCTGCAAAATATACTGGAAGTAGAGAGAACTAGATTTAAATGAACTGTTAACTTGATACGAGATTTAGCTGGTACGCTATAGCAGAATATACTTTCAGTTATATCTTTTCTGATAATTATATTATCTAAGGTTTTTTTTCTTACACTGTAAACTTTCTCACTGGAGTAAATGATAAGTAGATTTAAGAGTTAAGCATGTATTAACAGGTTTGGGGTGTTTTCTTTAAAGAGAAAAGCAATACTTCTTTTAAGGCAACTTCCTCATCTTTATTATTTTCTGCTTTGCAGATTTGGTAGGAGTCATGTAAACATTAACTGTCTTAATGGGTAAAAAACTTCAAATTTTTTTTTTAATGCAGCAGTTCTGTTTACTGAACTTTGTTGTTAGCAAGCCTTAGTTTTAAAGTGATACCTGAGCTGAGAATCAATTAATGAGGCAATGTTTTGTAGTTCACATACAGCGTATTGTGCCAGTTGACATTTCCTAAAGTTTGTGTTCTTTGACAGGTTGTGTGGCATTCCATGCAAGATGAGTTTATACGACAATACAAGCACTTTGAAGGGCTGATAGCTCGCTGCTATCCTGGATCAGGAATTACTATGGAATTCACTATACAGGATATTTTAGACTACTGCTCCAGTATTGCACAGTCTCACTAAGTGCTAGAAGGGGAAAGAAGCTAGCGGAGTTTGTGCCTGTGTATAAGGGAATCAAACACTATAAATGCTATTTGTTTTTAAAAGGTGGATTTCCATGTGTACACGTAGTTAACTACCATTTATGTCAAGTTACACTCCTGCTTCAAATGTCTTTCAGGGCAGAATGAAACCTTCGGGGATTTGTTGCTCTGCTACTGGGTTTGAAGTACTGTTTGAAAGCATTAATTCTGTGAAACACTTTGGATATAGTTTTTCCCTTCCCCTAATGTTCAGATACTTTATTTATAATCCCTTCTCTTGCTAAAAGCAGTAAGCACTACCTTCATAGTATGCAAAAATGATAGTACCGTTTTCACTAATATTTTGCATCTTAGAAACTATGTAAGCATTGAAGACTATCAGATCTTTTCCCTTCCTCATTCTAGAAAGTATGGATGCGGAACTTTACGCGGTGGGAATACTGAGTTCATGTTGAGAGATGTAATGTGACTATGGCTATAATTCTTAATTAAACTGTGTTCATCATATTCTTTATTTCTATGGAGTGTTACTTCCAAAAGGTGAAAAATGCCATTCCGCTGCGTAGAGCCAGCCGCTTGCACCAGGAGACAGCTCTGCAGTCAGCCCGAAATTAAACCTTGTGTCAGAGTTCCTCATGCGGTCCCGGGGCTGAGCGGTGACCTCCACTCGTAGCCCAGCCCGCCTGTTTCAGCCTCGGTTGCTTCTTGCTCCGCCGCTGAGGGAAACCCCTGACGTGACAGGGGTTTGGGCGGCGCTCTCACAACGTGAGTGTTCCGTCCACCCTAACGCCGCGGCGCCAAACGCCCGGCAGCGGAGCCGCGGTTGCGTCACTCTCCCCCGCCCCGCCGCGCGAG